AAATGCAAGAAAAAGGGTAAAAAATCCCATGAAATCTGTTTACAAGGCTCTTTCTGGTTTATTTGATAATCAAGGTGGCTAATTGTTCTTCTTGAATCTACCTTTCTTCATATTCTTATCCTATTAACACATTTCTAACCATCACCACCTATTTTGCTTATCTCTGTGTGCTGATGCTTTTCTCTACGTTTCTTCTATTTCCATGACTACTGAAACCATTCCAAAGCTGCTCCTTGATAAGAATTTTTTTATACAAGCACAGCATATAGTACAGCATAGATAAAGTAAACTTTATGACAAGTTTTCTCCAAGGAAATCCTTGCTTGCCTAAAACTGTATGAACCCTGCAATTTTAGGGGAACATCAGCAGTTTCGGGTAAGTGGAACATACAGAAGTAAACATATAATTACATGATCCATAACCTAATCCCAACAGGATTTTTGCAATAATGGTAAACCCCTTAAATCCTCCCTTTTTCATGAGAGAAGAATGGAAGAAGAGGTCTGAATCTTGGCCTGCCAGGTTTCTGGACAGGAATGGAAACAGAACACGTTAGCTAAGACACCCTGAAGAGAGTTAACATAAGGAAACCTTGGGTACCTACAGGTAAGATGTCCACTCTTAGCATGTCATTTAGATTTTTCTCTGTAGCTGATAGAGCTAGGCACCTCTGTATAGTAACTTATCCCACTGGGTACTTCTTTTAGGATGACATGAATGACTTCTTCTTGCCTATTGCTTGCCACTGGCTATGAGAAAGGTCTGAAAGAAGAGCTTGTGGCTTTCTGGCTAACACCAGATGAGATGAAGCCTCTGGAAGGTCATTTCCTGTGGCTAGGCCAAGATCTGATGATAAAACAAAGCCATATCTTGTGGATCATATCCCATACAAGGTCCACTTTAAAACATTTTTAAACCACCATGAAGATTAAGTTTAACATTGTTTAATTTAATGTTTTTTTACTTTAAAATTGGAGAGGACTCAGTTAATCTGTAGTGACTTGTTAACCTGAGTTAGCTATTTTGGACTATGTGGTCATAATAATTTTTTGCTATGCCAAAAATATTTGTTTTCCCTAAAAAGTTGGCTTGTCTCTTTGTTGAAATATGTCTCATTTTCTGGATCATTTAGAAACTTAACATATTAGAAAGAAATAAGTTAGATGATTATTAGCAGGCATGAACTAGTGTTCAACATGTTGCAGCTGGAGTTCAGAGTACACAAGAAAAACAGGATTGAGTCTTCTCCATAATTTGTCTAGAATTCTTATGGTAGGAAGAGCTCAGACTGCAATTTTTAAGGGAAATTGAGAAGACAGATGACTAATGGGAGCTAGTTTCCAGGCATAGGGAACTATTAAAAAAAATAGCCTTGGGTAAATTTATTACTGTATGTAAGGTATATAGAAGTACTCTTTTTTCAAAACTTGTGTCTGCGTTTTGGTCATTTCTTACCGAGTTTCATAATCTTTCAAGCTCAAATTAAGCTCTGTATAGCACTAATGTTAATCCTGTACATCACTAATGTTCATATCTAGACCATCTTTGAAAAAGTCCACCCCAGAGTGTAAGCAGCAGGACACAGACATTTCCTAGAACTACATATACCGGGATGGACTTGTTCACAAATAAATAAAATAGCTTTCTCCCTCAGGTAGATGGTTTTTGCATAGCTTTACTTTTTTGTAACAGTAATTTCTGTACATCTTGATGAATGAGAAGTGTGGCAGTTTCTCTGACACTGTTGAACACGCATGCACTTTTCTATTGAGTTATAAAACTGAAGGATTGAGAGGACTCATAGCAATTAAATCATCACAATAAGGTGTCTAAAAAGGTCAAATAAAATGTCTAGATGTGCTGGCCAATCATCTAAATCATCCACCAAAGAGTTCTCAACAGGAAAATACTGCATTATTGTATAGCCACAGCCAATTGCTCACAATTTTTATGAAAAATTAGGCTTTTAAACTGTTTAGTCAGCTGCGTTGTGTTATAAGAAAAACGAAAAAAACAACAGAATCTGCAATTAATAACAAAAATATACATTTGTAGTGCTGGACATATCTTAAAACTTACAAAATACTTGTTATTTTAAAAAGAATTAAGATTTAACAAAAATGTGATTGCATGTCAGCTGTATTTTAAAATGGTTTAGGCATGTATGTATTAGATATCTATCATGTGTCTATGAAGAAAGAAGGAAGACAGAAGAAACAGAAACATGTAAATTTGAAATGTATGTTAAAATATGCCACATAAGATTGTGGGTGAACTACAGCACTAACTTCCAAATTATTTTCTTATATCATTAAAAGGTCAAAGCAGTTCCTGAACTCAAAATTTAATTTAAATTTAGTAGTTGCTTTATAACATTTCATTTCAAAAGTTCCAGGCAGAAGTGAGATGCAGAATTTCTATAGACCCCTTTTGTTGTACCTAACCAGATATTGACTGCTATCATCCAAGGACACATCAAGCTATAGGACGTCATTGATCCAATATAGCTTTGGTTTTCCATTATAAAAGGTTCCCTTTCATTAGAGTTTTAAAGGATCTAGTGTGAGAAAGTAAAGACCCTGTATTCGTGACCTGAAATAATCTACTCTTTATGAAAGGCTGACAAATCACAGAGAATCAAAGAACGCGCCTGCGGCTGCAGAGGTTTTATCTGTGCCTAATCTAGGGGTCACTGGAAAATTCAATGCATAATTGAAGATTCATCAAAAAGAACTTCTCAGATTAAAAGCTACGTTTACTGTGTGAATGAGAAATCCTGGTGTGTTGCTTTGCTTCCGTGTTGTTTGAAGTCAGTTTCTTTTTTTTAAATTTCAAGAATAAAAGAAACAGCTCAAGGAAAATGAATAATCACATCAGGTGCTGGTTTGGCCTGAATTATTTTTTATATAGCAGCATACTATTCTGAGCTGTTCATGAGATGCTCAAGATGGAGAGCTGCCCGGTCCCAGGCCAGCCACCTGCCATGGGGCAATGACTCGCAGGGCAGAGCATGGGTACAGCTCAGCTGGGAACGCGCCTCATGTACAGAGCAGACATGAAATGGGAGAGTGAAGTGCTGACTGATTCACCTTGTCTATTGATCTTTAAGAGCACTGAAGCACTTCTCACAACAAAATAAAAAGCGATCTGATTTCAAGAAGAATAAGAGAAAGAAAGGTTCAGGGACATTGCCATAGAAAAAATGCCTAAAAGTACCACCCTGAGTTTATAGATGACCTTATTCCAAGGGACCACTTATGTGTCAAAGCTATGTCAAACAACGATACTGCCAACAAATGGACAATTCAATGCCCAGTACTGCATGTGACCAGCTATGCTGTGGTTAGGGACAGCAAAATGACAGAGGAGCGACTGGCGAAGAGGGGGATGGCAACTGCCTCCTGTGGAGTCAGCAGATCTCTAATTTGAGGGATGGAGAAAATAATGGCTGAATATTACTGAAAAACAAATGACAAAACCAGACCAAAATGCTAAGTGGCATCTGCACACCGTGTCTTTTCAAAACTTGAACAATTCTCTGCAAGGGCGCTGAGAGACCACTATGTTCAGCTGTCCTGACCCACTGCACCTGGGACCTCTGCCCATGCGGTTGGGGACTCCATGTAAGCTCAAGCTCAAGCCGAAGCTATGCTGTAGGTGAACCGGTAGTCAGCCCCATCTTTGATCTTGTCTCCTGGACCAACCTTGGATCTACGCTGAAGGTAGCTTGTCTCCATTACTGTCCCTGGCCGTGTCTCCTTGGATGGACCTTGGAGCTGTGTTGTAGCCTTATCTCTGGCCCCATTGCTTTTTGCTGCTGACCAGACTCCTTGCATGGACCTGGCTCATGACCTCACCTTCTCTGGGACTGCTGACGGGAGCTGCTTCCTTTGGTCCTTGCCTGAGCTGTGCTGCTGGCTGCTGTGCCTCGCCTGCTCCCTTGCTGCTCCCAGCCTTGCCTTGCCAACCTGGCTTCCTGCCTTGATCCCGGGCCTGCCTCATCACTGCAGACGCAGCTGATTGTCACTAGTCTGCGGCTGACCCCGGCTGCTGCACCTGAGCTGCTGAACTCACCCTGCGCCCTGCCCGTGCCTGCTGCCACGCTTGCTGCCGGTTCCCCTGCCCCTGGGGGAAGCTCGGTGCTCCCTGTCCAGAGGAAAGGCAATCAAAGCCAATAATATTCCCCTTTATATCAGTGGAAATATAATTTATTTCAATTTGCTCAGCAAATCATCCTCTGCTTTGATAGACCATTCCGAAGCCCACAGAAATCAACATAAATCTTTCTTTCTCCTCAGCAAGCTCTACATCAACAGCGAATACAGAGTCAGCCTACATCTAATGACCCAGTCCTATTCTAACTAACAGCAAAATTCTCATCAACTTCAAGGGAGAAGGAACAAAACTCAGGTCTCAGTCCCTGAACCCACAAAGAAGATGACAAAAGCAGTCCCCTGCAGGTCCTCACTTAACAGAGGCCTTTATCAGTAAGACAAGGTGATCTTATTAACTTGCAAGGGGAATGTGCATGGAGAAATACAGGATCTTTGCTAGTACAGAGACATAGATATAAAATGGATATGTTTATTAACAAAATGTCATGTAATAATTCACTACTATGAATGAGTTTATAACACAATATTATTATTTAGAACTAGCATCATATCTTCTCTTAACAGAGTTAAATAATACCGTATTATTATAATACAGTTAATAACTGTATTAATACAGTTAAACATTTTCTTAATATGTCCATATTTGGAAGTTAATTAAACCTGCTGTTTTATTAAAGAGTTATAAAGAGAGTTGTAAATGATTAATTTACTAAGCAGTTGCTAAGCTTATTTGCCCTGCTGCTCTTCGACATAGATGTGGAAGGCTGAAGTCCTTTGAGAGTCTGGTAAAAGCTATTTCTACAATCTGATTTTGATTAATGAAGTTCAGTGGATAATTTGACAAACTACAGACATTATTTACAGACAAAAAAATCATCTCTTACCTCCATTGTCTTTTAGGTGCAGTGCTATCTTGGTGTCATCTATAAAGGAAATTCAAAGTTAGTTGTAGGAAAATGCATTTTTCTAAGTCATAAGTCATTTAGGAATGACTTTCTAATGTCAAAGAAATTTCACAATTAGGACAGTATTTGGTACTCAACTCAATGAGAGTTAGATTGTGGTGTTCTTACTTACACTAAGCAATGCTTTACTTCCTTACTACTAAAAAAACATTTATGAGAGTGTTACAGTGTAACAGAGGATTCAAAATACTGGTAAATAAGGGTCTGTCTCATAACACTTACAAATAATTCATTTATGTTACATGGTCATACATAGCTTGAGCATTCTATCATATTAAGGACTATATGAACCAATATATGACAATAGAATAAAACAATGACTTAGTTCCTCTTCCAAGAATCATGAAGAGGTCTACCAGTTTTAAATCCTATTTATTTCCATATTCCTCTTCTTGTTGTGAGCTTTAATGAACAAAATGCCAGGGAATAATGCTGCTAATGCAGTCCAAATCCTGCACCAACAGTTTGTAAACTTCTCTTGCTGCAAACAAAACCAGCCTTTCTTATCAGTAGATTCTCGCCTTGAAATGCCTCCAGTTCAAATTTTCCTGTCACAGGCCACTTAAAAAATCTGCCTGTACCTGGTACTTTTTCTTGTCTTAACATACAATTCCAATAGAAAACTCCCCCCTTTCCTTTTATAGATGCTAAGATGCTATTTGATTATTCTGGGTTAGCTTTTCTACCCAGCCGAATTTTCCCTAGAAGCAGAAAAGCAGGATATCTCAACCACAGAAAGGCAAGATTTAAGCAGCCAGTGGAACAAGGGTAAGAACTGACACACCATCGCTTAACCTGGTTAATTTGATTCAGAAGCCTATAGAAACTATTTCACAACAGTGAGCACTATATGAAAAGAACAGTGTCAACTGACTGAAAAAAAGTAAACAGGCAAATTTCAAAGAGGTTTTTAATTTGGGTTACCTCTAATTTTCATCTGGCTAAATAGAATATGCAAAGGGATTCAAAATTCATTACGTCTGTGACGGGAGTTTCTTCACTAACTTTAGCAGGGCCCTCTCCATCTACTATTTCAACAGGTTTTGGACTATGGCCTGATGGTTAAAAGAACACAAACAACTCACTGTAACCACAAGTTCTCCAGAAGTCTGCCTGGCTTGCCCATGCGCCCCCAGCACTGCCCCCTCCTCCAGCACTCATCCCCTTTGCACCTTACTGTTGCAAGAGCAAGTTGCAATTTAAAAGCAGTAGCAGATATTGCCTTGACTGCAATTCCCTACTCCTTCCACTGCCTCAAAGAGAAAAGATCAACATGAACACATACTTAAAGGAATTAAATTTCTTTTAGACTTGTAAATGACATGTTTGCACTATAGAATAATGCAGTGTATACAATTCACCTTCTGTGGGCAGGCTAGTTGGCAGGTGGGAAGTGGTGGACCCTCTCGTGGTCGTTAAAACTCTGAACTTTGTGGTGGTTGGCAGAAGGGTGGTGGTGGAGTACGGAGGTGTTTCAGTTGTGTCTATATTCTTCTCACAAATCTTATCTTTTGACTGTTGGGAAACAACAGAAACAAAGACGAGAAAATTAATTCTCAGTGGAGACTGTCACTGAATGAAGAATTTAAGCATGGACAAGCTGTCAGGATAAAAAGAATGCAAATGGAAACACTAAATCAAGGAATTTCAAGAGCTTTTCTTTTTTTTTTTTTCCTTTGAAGTGCTCTACACAGCATTCAGCAACATATATTTTTCATTTAGCTGCAAAACTTACAACCCTCAATTGTTAATGACAAGGTTTCAAAGTCAGCCCTGAATGCCAAACATGTTATTTCCCCCAATCATATTTTAACATCTAAGATTATCATTCAGATTTTCACTCTTCTATTGTGAATGCTCACTGCTATTGGTCTGGATGCCATAACACAGGTTTAAAAAGATATGTGGGAATTAAATTGCAGCTCTTCAGAGTGAGTAATGTGTAGTTAACTGGAACATTTAATTAGGCTTTACATGCAGTTATCACAGAAGAATATGCATATATGTGTAAAATGCGTGCATGTATTCAGCCTGTAGAATATTTATAGACCACACTATAGAGCAACACATTCACTATATGCCTATTAATTCTATATAATATTAAAATTTCACATATTATATGTGTATATAACATAAAATTATATAAAAGTATTATAAACTATAAACTATAATAATCATACAAATGATTATATTATATTAGCATACCATAAATAATATTCACCAACATATAATAATTTAAGTGTTATTTTCATGGGCAAATAGTTCGATACAAAACTCGAGTAATTTTTTCTTTTTTTTTAAAATTCTGGACACAGTTAAAATTCTGCAGGTGTGATGAATATTTTCTTTTATGGCTCACACAGTTTTGCAGGAAAATACATCCAAATAACCAGCAGCAAATATGGCAACTGCCTGTAACTCCTGCTGTCCCCACTCATTTTAATGAGAAGTGAGATCCCACAAAGCATGTTCTGGCTGTCAAAACCCAGTGGGTGCTGTCTTTCTTTTAATATGTATGGGTATTTTATTGTCCTTTGTTTTACAACAAAAAATGTATTACATTTAAAAAAGCTACCAGTATCAGCAGTATAGCTATTCTTTAAATTTCTTCATGTTTTAGCTTGAAAACCACTGTTAATTTCACTGATGCAATTTAATAAAAATTTAGCTCAAAATCTATATTACAGAGAAGGAAACATTACTATGAGAATCCTCATTATTCATCCTCTTGAATGAATGCATCTAAAATTAACCTCTGTGTACTAATTATTGATCCTTCATTGAACTCCAGCAGTCAGCTCAGGCATCATTCTGGAAGATGCTAAGTAAGCTGTTACTTCTACTCCAGAGAGCCTGAAAGCTGGGCTGTGAGCAGCAATCAAGTAGCCTGAAACTGTGCAAATCAAACTATTAGTTTCTCAGATACACTTAGCGTACCAATAATTTCCTCTCAGATCATGTAGTAAGCCTTGGAGCACTAGTTGAGTTGAAACAAGAAGGGAGAAGCAGAATGGGATGCTACTGTCATGCAGAGAGCAGTTTTTGGATAACTTCATCTACAGGCACAAGTGAGTCCTAGCTGGTTATAATCTGGATTAAAGCAATACAAAGCTTGTGCACTATAACAACAAATACTCCCAGTAACTTTTATTTTATGTTCTTGAAAAGGTTGTCCTCCACAGACAAAAAATCTCACAGAAATTCCATTCTGAAATCAGCAGTGTACAAACTGCAAAGCTGAAGCTTCAAGCCCATGTAACAAGGCAGTGTGTAGGATGCAGTTATTTTGCAATTACAGTTATAAGAAAAAGAAGTCTTCCATCAGACTGGATTTATATCATTACTTCTCTTTGCTTCTACTGAGAATAAAACAGAATGTGCTTTTCTAACTAGACACTTGGGGCTACATTTTGTCCTCAGTTTCACCTGACATTACACTTCAGAAGGGCTATGCTGGTGAAACTCATGACAGAATTCAGCCCTTTCAGCCAAAATGGAAAAGTAACTGTTTTTTTATGGCCATCAGGAGATTTAAGTGTCATAAATTAATTTGTTCCTGTTACCGCACTCCCCAAATGAAAAAAACAGCCACAAAAAAGAACCCTCAAACCAAAAAGCCTTCTAAAGGGAGGACATTGGGAAAGAACCAGCAGTAAGGTATTTACATACATGTCTTGAAAATGAACTGCTCTGGTCCAGGATTACCCTGAGTACCTCTTTTAGAGGAGGCCCGTAGTCCCTGTTTGACAGTCCACCACTACCACAGTCAGATATCTTTCTCGTTCTCTCACTGCCTCTCCAGGAAAGGACATCGAAATGCCTTGTAGTTGTTTGTTTGGTTTTTTTTTTAAATATCTTTGAATTAATACATGTCTTGAAAATGAACTGCTCTGGTCCAGGATTACCCTGAGTACCTCTTTTAGAGGAGGCCCGTAGTCCCTGTTTGACAGTCCACCACTACCACAGTCAGATATCTTTCTCGTTCTCTCACTGCCTCTCCAGGAAAGGACATCGAAATGCCTTGTAGTTGTTTGTTTGGTTTTTTTTTTAAATATCTTTGAATTAATCTATGCAATTTCTTCTCTACTAAATGATTTGGGCAGATTTCATAACCAAAATGCAAGACATGCAATGCCTGTTTTTCACTTGAGACTGCTCTGGCAGAGGGTTTTCTGAGATGAGGAACATCACAGTTTCTTCCCCTTTTCTGGCAAGAATCAGAGATCTAAGAGAAAAACAGTGCAGGGACATTGTTTTGGGGCAGGCTTTCTGGTATTTTTATATTTTATTTAAAGTATTTTCTCAGAGACAAAATTTTTATTTCATGTCCATTTTATTCCCTGAAATGGGGAGTGAAATTGCTCAGTCTATTTTTCTTTATCATGCCTTACAGCATGTCCACTGAATGATAAAGATAAATATAGCATGTCTTTGGCCTTGAAACCATGCTTCATAATATGAAGAATTTAATCAAAAACATCATAAGTATATAAATGGCCTCTGATGGGCTGAGGATGTAAACTACTCACATACCTCTTCAGGGCAGCCACTGTCTACCCAATCTTGCCGGTGACGGTCAAATCCACTGGAGCATCTTTAAATGATGAAATAGATAGAAGTTGTCCAGATGGAAATAGGAGGAAAACAAGAACAAGAAAGGAAGGGAGAGGAGGAGAGAATGACAGAGAGAATAAGTAAATGATGTGATTTATTTTAAAATCCGTGTGATTTATGTGGTATTACTTTTATTCAAGAGGCTGTTGCTTGCAATATGAGTCAATCATTTAATCCACCTCAGTGAAATACATTTCAATGAATGAGTTATTATTTTAAGTGGGTTTTTTTTTAATTTATAGTTTTTAAATAGGAATGTCTCCCTTCCACTAGATAATTATTCTTAAGACTGCACTGAGCCATAGCATTTTTAAGTTTGATATCAGCCATATGGATGTAAATTGGTTTAATTATTTCTGTCCAGACTCCTTAGCCAGGAAAATTTAATCCCACAAAGGATGTAGTGAACCAGTCACTCACTGCTTTTGTCAGGCAAGGTGATCTGAGACATCAAGATACACATATAACAATGCAATCAATATTCACAGATTTAGATAACAGCTCCTCTGAACAGCCTTCATGACAATTAGAGAATACTATACAGCTGCTTCTACCTCCTCAGTAGCTACAGAAAACTTAAGTTGCATGCATATTTCTTATCAAATTAGGTGAGGTTAATAACCTGCTTGCAATATCCTTTCTCATTTGCAATGTGTAGCGAAGAAATTTTAAAACAACTTGTAACACTTTAATATAATGATTCCCCTGGCAATCCCCATCTTACAAGTGTTATCGGTGCTTATACAGTAACGTAGGGTTTCCTAGAGAACAGGTAGCATTACAAATAGAAAGCATTATTAAAATGACAAGCAAATAACTAAACCATGATGTCCGACTTTGAAAGAGATTCTCTCCAGTTAGGGTTTTTAAATTTTTTTGGTTTTGTTTTTGTTTTCTGCATTCATTTCGTGTAGTATTTTGTTATGGGACAGGATGATGTAATTTGGCATCAATGGTCGTAACTTACCTGACTGTATGGCAAATAACTTTCTCACTGTCTTTTAATAAGACTAGGCAAGCAAATAAGACCACTGTTATGGTTAGCTGTATTTATGGGGTAATTTTTTGTTCTCAATGAACTGAAAGATGCCAAGACATGCCAAGTACTACCCTACTTCAACCAAGGTAAACAGGTGCATTTGGGAGAATGGAACAGTGGAATAATTTTTATAGTAGGGGAGGACGTTACAAAAGGATGTAAACAATGTTAACAACACACTTGGGATAATAAACTTCTCCATATAGTTATTCTGAGCAGAATCTACTATGTCTTTGACAAAAGATTTTGAGAAAATGTTGATTCTCTTGTTAGTTGTACTTGCACTGATCCACATTCCATCATTTGCAATGTTACTAAAAAAGATACCCCAACCCTAACGGGTGTCAATTATCACTCACTCTATAGCAGCTGACTTTTCCAAAAACCTATTGCAGTGAAGAAAAAAGGTGCCCAAACCAGAAATGTATTCCAGAGAAATACAGAGATCTCCTTCGCAATGCATGGGAATAAAGTTTTTTCTTCTTGCTGAAGGGTGAGTGAATCAGTGCTATGCTGGGAGCTCAGTGTTGCCTCCTCATCTTTGGGGTGTTCTGTCTCCATGAATGTTTGAGAGAACAAGGAGGACCTTGCTAAGCAGAAAGAAATGATGATGTGACATGCCAGGTATGAATAAAACATATTTTTTTGAAGTCTCAGTCTCTCCTACTTTTCTCTAACTTTTGAAGAGCTTCATTAGCAACTTCTGTGCCCATCTTGAAGGAGAACTGGACTAATTTTCAGAGGTACTGAATACTCACAAACACATTACATTTCAGTCATACTGCTCTGTCTAAAATCTAATGGGTTTGAGGATATTCTGTACATCTGAAAATCAAGCCCAGTGTTTAGTGTGACATCAAGTCACTCCATAAATTCCTACAAAAGAGGCAACTACTGCAGTTACATATCCATGCTAATTCAAACCCAACTGTACTTAGACCTAGTAGGGATTAATGACCTTTTATCTTAGATTTTATCTTGTATCTAAATGGTGTCAAACTTAAGGCTCCAAAGATTAAATGAATAAAAGCTTATCCCAGGTGCACTCATTTACAGTTCTTAAGTCTTTTCTGACAAACAACTGAAATACGGTGGCAAGTAACATTGCTGGGGTTGATTTTTCCCCAGGAATTAACAAACCACCAAAAGTTGAATGCAACATGCAAGGACTTGGAATCGCTCTTTCAAACATCTGAGACACTCTTCAGATGACCCTACCTTAAAGAAAAATACATTAAACCCTGGACACTGTTTATTTAACATTTCCTATTGATGCAATGGTGAGTCCAAAAAATATTATCAGAAAGCAGCTTTACCAGGAACTAGATAGGCTTCAAGCAAACATGTTTGTGAACTTCCTTTGAGGCGTGTGTCAATGACACGTCAGCTGTAGCAGATACTATCCTTGCTGCATCGTAGCAGATACTATCATTGCTCCGTCATTGAGTTAGAATTCTGGGAACTGTCATTTCAGTGCACCACCCGCTCTACCGACTGCATTTTTAAGACCTTCATCTAGTAGCATGGTGATAATTCCCTGTTGCCATTAAAACATTGGAGCAGATTTGATTAGCTATGCCATTTATGCCATCTGTCAACATGGCGATTTTATAACAACTGAAATCAGCTCCTAGCAAAGCAATAACAAAGATATTCTAGGAAATGAGAATAGGGACGTTCATGAAATGTAAGGAATTTCAGGATTTCTGTGGAACTCAGGAGAGTATTGGTTCAGGGAGCAAAGGGAGAATTAAAGTCTCTGCATGTATAGCAATGATGATTTGGTATAACTAATGCAGCTGAATCTGGGTAACAAGAAAGATGTCAGAATCCTTTCAGTGAACTGTACATAGGCAGAAAGGAGATGTAGATGTCATCAGATCTACCAGATGCCATTTACCTCTATTTGGCAGAGAATATTTAATGACAAGAAGTGTCCATTCAGTGCATGAGCTGAAATGCTTTGCTTCTCTTTTAAGAGAGTTCAATGAGGTTTAATAATAATAATAATAAATTAGATACCCTGTATACAGAAAATTTACCAAGGTTTAACCTGCAAAAGCTAAAAACATAATGGAAAATTATCAGGAAGGAAAGGAACAAAGTCTGGATGGAAAAATCTTTTCACCAGGTTGAGCTGGTACAAAACAATCAAGAGCATTAAAATGCACAACGTGTGTCCTTTAAACCAACTATTCCCTAGGGTTTTTTTGCCAGGATATCTGTAACAGCATGAAGAACAACATGAAGAATGGATTTCTGAAAACTGAAAGGCACTCCAGAAATCTGAAATGATTTCTTAAATACCATGTAATTACTCAACTCAGTTAAAATGTTTATTAACTCCTCTAAATAAAAGGTTAACCTGGAAAATTAAATAGAAAATCAAACAGCTGTTTGAATTACTAAAAAAAGAATTTGAATATTTTAAAGTGGAATTTCTTTCCAAGCTGAGGTAGATAGGAAATAAAATATAAAAATAAATATATATATAAAATATATATTTAAAAAAATAAAAATACTGGAAGCCTTCAACTTTGTGTCTGTCCAACTGAAAAAAACCCTAATCATAGAGTGATTTTTGGAGGAAAAAAAGGACTATCTTTGTGCTCAGTCTGGCTTTGCCTCCCTTTACCTCAGAACAGACTCCATTTTGGTTCCTCCATCCTTTGAATATCACTTCCTTGTCACACTGTGCTGTCTGGGAAAAGACTGTATTTTCCTCCTCTTGTCACACTGCGCTGTCTGGGAAAAGACTGTATTTTCCTCCCTTTGTTATTTTCCACTTTCCCTTGTCACAAATGCAGAACTATCACAGCTCGAAGTGCTTATGAAGTTCATGTGAAGTGTCACTGTGAGTGACTGTGGTATGAATTTGTAAAGTATTTGAATGGTATTTGTGCTTAGCATCTAGCTCAATACATCTAATCATGTATCTGAATTCAAGCATAAATGTGTTGTCTGTATTCATCCTTTACTTAAAGACATTGCTTAATTAAACTGTACTTCAGAATAGGATGACAATTTGAATTGTTAGAAGAGGATTTGCTCCCACCTTGCTGTTACAAGGTAAGAATAGATAAGATGATTTGCTTAATACAAGGATTTTAAACATACAGCACTACCAACAGCCTGTGCTATTTTAATGTTTATGAAAAATTCAAATGTAATTACTAAGGCATGGTTAATACTTGATGCAGCATATCTGTGTCTGCAGCACTGAATTCCATCATTGTCTTAACATGGTGTGCCTCTCAAAATTTCCAACATTCAGGTGATGATAAGGAGGATCAGAGAGTGGCACAAATTTCAGCAGGCAATCTTCAACCTGATGATGGTTCCACAATTTTATGGGACAGAAAGTTTGGAAAAATATAGCTACATGTTCTGTAAAGTACTCCTGCAATATCATGTAAACAGAGAAGTGAAAAGATGTTAAAAAAAGCTGTTATTTTACAGTAAAAGAGATTGGTTATGAGTAAGACTTGATATTTGTAACTCTGACACAACATATGAATAGGCAGTAGGAAATAAGGACTCCCACAGGGAATTCTTGCTGTTGGAAGAGCCTAAGAATAAAAGTGGGCTAAAAGAAATAAGTTTTATTGCCAATTCAACTAGAAAGAAAGGAAAAAATCCTAGTTAAAGTGAGACTTGGCAGAGTTCTGATTAAAGAATAATAGGAAGATATTTTCTATAATCTTAATGTCAGTTACAACAACAAAGAAAAGATGCTGAAAAGCACATAAAGAATAAAAAAGAAGCTTTTGCTAAAGGCTCTGCTTTGAATAACTAGAAGGAAAATGAAAGTGTAAGAGGAGGGCCCTAGAGTCAAATTTACGAGATTATGGTATCAGAATTTCCATCAGATTCAGCAGAAAATAGTAACAATCAAACACGTTCTCTGGGAAGGAGCCACACTGAAATTAGTCTCTGGTACT